CCTCCACCCTCACACTCCTGCATACTGACTCCAACACCATACCTCTCCCTGAGCCACCAAGCCCTGCGGCCCAATTCGGATGCTCCCACATCTACTCCAGCCTTTAGCAACATCATATTTTCTAGGAAGGTCCCTCTCACTCCTTCCCTTCTGCCTCCAACACCCTCTCCCTTGCCCTGCTGGTGTCACAGTCCCTCTTCTGCCCATCAGCCAGACTCTGCCCTCCACAGTGAGGCAGGTGGGAGAGGAGGGAAGGGGGAAGTTCCTGTCACAATGTGGTGGCAGATTTTGGAAGAATTTGGTTCTGGCAGGTAGTTTTGGGGGGATGGAGAAGGAAGAGGTGATGGGGAAACCTTTTTTCTTTTTTTTTCTTCCTTTTTTAAAAACAATAAATAAAAACAGATGACCCAGAAGGCTGGAGCATAGCTGAGAGCCACCTCTTGTGCCACTATGCACGTGTCTGGTTTGTGCCTTGGCTTTCTGCCGGCAGTGGGAAAGGGGGCAGAAGGGAAGAGGAAGGGAAAGGGGCATTGGTGGCTCAGTAGTTCTGCGTCTGGTACCCCTGTGTCTCGGTGTCGAAAGCATCTGCTGGAGGGGGCTGCTGGTACGTCCCCACCGCATCTGTAGCATCCTCCTCATTCGTGTACGGAGCATAAGGCATGCCGGAGTCCTGGCTTGGGTCCATGTAGTCCTGGGAGAAGAGGGCCGAATCGGCACCCAGTCGGAAATGCCTGGCCCACCTTTAAGGGAGGAGGTGGGGGGAAGAGATGAGAAGCAGAGAGGGGAGGGGAAAAGGAGAAGGGGAACATACCGAGAAAGAGAAACAAACAAAAGTGGGGTTAGTAGTGGTTACGGGTTAGTGAAGAAAGGCCCACGGGGCAGCCTGCCAGTGAAACACCCCTGAGAGCAAGGAAGTTCAGATACCCTGTAGAAAGCACGAGCCACTGGGAGAGAGGGGGACAGGCAGGGATGGCTGCAAGCCCAGCTGCCTGCCTGCAGTCTGCCAGGGCTCCCTGCTGTCTCTTGGGTGTGCTGGGCACCTCCTGCCCAGCGGTGGGCTTTCACCCACATGGCACAGGTCGCAGAGGCTCAGTTGGCATGTGGTTATCCCATCCAGCCCCTCCTGCCCCTGGGAAGACAATGTGCTTCAGCAACACAGCAGAACACTCGCCTGCCGGGCTGCATGCATGCAGCCAGAGGCCAGGAAGGAGAGCAGGATTTGACCCGGAGTAGAGAGGTAGTGGTCATCCTCTATAACACCCTCACCAGCCAACATCCACAGGGTGCAGCACAGACCTTGGGAAGGAGCAGCAGGAGGCACGGTGGCTGCTTCCCAGACCAGGGGACAGTTAGCAAGCATACTGCTGCCTCCTATCCCAGGCACTGCAGGCACCATTTGGTGGACTGAGGGAGCCCAGGCATGGTTCTGCATCGCACACCCCAGCATGCATGGCTTCTTGTCCCAGAGCATCCCCGATAGAGGTGAGCAGTCTAGCAGGTGATGGGGGGAGAGGTTTTTGAGGATTAAAGGCTCAGAGGAAATGGAGGATAAAGTGGTTGGGGCAGAGGGCATCTCCTGAAGTATTAGGTTTGAGCAGTCATCATAAGAAAGGCACAGCAGTGTTATGCAGCATTAGTTAGGTTACAGGTACGGGAGAGAAGGGAGCAGAGGAGGAGGAGAAGAAGAAATTGCCAGTTCCAACTCCCTGGAGGGAGATCCATGCTCAGTGGACAACCTCACTCCAGTTCAATGGCCCATGTCATCCCGACCTTGTGCCCTACAGTGACCACACACCCATGGTCAGGGTATTGGAACTGTCTCTGCTCAGTAACCTCCTCCAGCTGCATCCCTCCATCCCTTCCCCTAAATTCCCCATCAGCGAGGGGTGCTAAGGCAGCAAGGATGGGGAGTTAGGGAACAGGGTATTGTACTCTTCCTGAAAAGTAATGTCTCTGAGTCTCCGGAAAGCCAGAAATGTGAGGGAGCCCTGTGAGGAGAGAGAGGGTGTGGGAAGGATAATCAGTAAGGAGGAGCAAACCAGGGTGTTTGATTGAAATAAAATCCCCAAGGATCTGGGGGAAGAGGATGCCTATTTAGTCACTTGCAAGCCCACACATCAGGGAGAACCACTGGAAGTACTGACATCTCCAAAAGGGTCCTGAGAGACTCCTTGCAAAAGCCTTGCTCCTTGTCACACTTTCTGCTGGAGCCTGCAAGAGGCTTTCAGCAGCACTTGAGTGCAGAGCACAGCTCATGGGACATACGCACATGCTGCTGTCCTTGCCTCTGCTGGTGTCACCTTGGTGAGGCTGCTGACCGCACAACCCTTTGCAGCCCCCCTTCCTCTGACAGCTTCGTGGTCTTACAGCACCCTTCCTAACCTGGCCTCTGCACAATGTTAAGGCCTGTAGGAAAAGGAGAAGATAAAGGCACAAGGACTTATGCATAGAGATTGGCCTAAAATATTTCTCTGCTTGGCACTGTGCTGTGACTTGGGACAAAAATCACGCAGGTTTGGTGCTTTCAGAGATGGGAGGAAATTGTGGGGGTATTTATATCACACACCATTTTTCCAGGGAACTGGCGATACAGAACTGCTGGGGAAAGTGCAGACAACATCATCACCTTCCTAAGCGGTGATCCAGTAAGGTGGTGCTGCAGTGTGAGTGCAGATGGAGAGCCCAGAGGGACGCCCACTGCAGCCTCTTGTGGCCACTGATGACATTTCACGTGATGGGAGCAAAGCAGGGAGGGAAACGGGTGCAACCACCGGCCTGGAACTCCCTTCTCTGCTTAGTGTCTGAGAGGTGAAAATGCTGGTAAGTCCTCCGATGCACAGGGAAAATGATGCTTGGGGTGCTCGCTTGCTCAGGGTCATATTAAAGATTTGTCAAGTACGTTCCTTACTGGGATATGGGTCCCTCTTTCCCATTGTGCTTATTAATGCTCTAGCACCTTCTTTCATGTAAGCTTTGAGTCTTTGTTTCCCAAGTTTACCTCCTAGCCACCTTCTCCCCCTTCTTTTCCTTCTTAGAAGCCATTTGAACTGAGATCTCAGAGGTAATCACTCTTAGCCAGTCGCCTTCCATTCCCAATGAGCTAAACCAGTGTGAAGTACACTTGATCCAGCATCATGGTTGCTGTACTCACCCAGGTGAAGATGGAGAAGAACGAGAATGTGATGGCTGCTCGGGCTGCGTCCCCTCCCTCATTCATTGGGTTGTCCTCTTCTTTTGACGCTTGCCACTGGTTGGTCAGAAAGCAGAAGCCAACGAACCAGAGGAATGCCCAAAAGGCTGGGTTGGATGACCACCAGCATGTCAAAGGGGAAAAGGAGAGAGATCAAGAAGGTATATGTGAACAGAACATAAACAACATCATGTGTCTCTGGAAACTTCAACTCCATGAGACCCACCACTGTGTTGTAGACAGGGCTAAACTCTGCCCGTGCAGCCTGTCTAAGCCCAAGTGAGCTGGCAGCTGAGCCGATGGCTAAATTGTCAAGGTGACGATAGGTGTCTGCAGAATGTACCTCAGGAGAGTTTATTTGCTTGTGTTTGGATTGATCACAGGACTTGCATGTGGCCTTGGGAGGGAGCCTGAAGGGCTTCCAGTACAGAAGCAATCACCTGGGCTCTCTGAAACAGCAACTGCTTCACATCCCTGTGCTGCAAGGACGAGCAAAGAGCAATTCCTTCAAGGGAGCTGCAGAAGAGTGGGAAGCAGCCAGCCTTGCAGTTGCACAGAGACCAGCTTTTGCTCAGGAAGCACAGGCTGGGGGACTCACCCTGAGGAAAGGTGCGGAAGGATCATTAACATGCTGCACCCCTGGGAAAGGAGTGAAGATGGGGAGGAGTGGGACTCACACTCTTTGCCAGGCACAGACAGATACCTGGCAGTAAGGGAAATGGACATTCCTAAGTGGCAGCAAAACAGGGCTCAGTCCTTCCCCTCCTTTTGTTAGCAGTACACAGGACTGCTTGGAAAGGGGTTAACCATGAACAAAATTGCAAGCTAGAAGTCCTAAAAAAGTTCAGGTACTGCACCCAATCTTGCCCTCACTCCACTCCTGGCCCCTTTGAAAAACTGGGAGGGGAACACGCTAATGTGGAGAAATTTGCCTGCACAGCTGCAGAAAGCCAGGAGAGTGACTCAGGATCACAGCATGAGAACAAAGCACCTTCTTGTGATGCTGCTGACTGGTGTTACACATGCACGTACGCAAGCGCCATCACTCTGTCTGTCACTTCAACATGCTATTGGGGATGGAGAGATCTGACTATAAGGTAGAATAAGCCTCAGGGCTGTATGTGGTTCTGCACAGCTATTCACATGGGGAATGCCACATAACCTTGGAGGACTGGTTCATTCAGTCTGCAAGAAACCTTCAACATTTTTTTATGTTAAAATATATAGGGTTCAATCACCTGGAGCTGGAAAAGAAGGAAGTACCATCTCCAGAGGCATTAACACTTGGCTTTAGCAAGCACAAGCATGCAGGGAGGCAAGACCTGCTGATCCTAAAGGGTTCTCTGAGCTACACAAGAGTGAGGAATCAGCCAGATCGGCTGAAAAGAGAAAGGGAAAGAAAAGGAGAAAGAAAGCCTCTTGAGAGATCCAGGAACTCAAAGACCTCCCTGCTAGCAGGGACCAATGCTTCAAGGTGGCAGAAGCTCCCTCCTCTCCTTGCCGGTGGAGGAGAGGGGCACTGTGACCAACTGGCCAAGAAACTCACCCGAGACTCCGATGTCCGAGAGCACTGCCTTCTTGCGGTCCTTGACGCTGCTGATCTGCGGGAAGTAGGCATCCAGAGCCAGGTAAAGAAGGCAGCTGAGGAAGGCGAGGACACCCACCGTAATGCCATAGTTGCAGGCATTGCGGTTGCGGTTGAAAATGCAGTGCTCTTGTGTCTCGTCCACGCGGTTCACGTACCCTTCATTGACAATGGAGCCAAACACCACAATGGAGAACACCTGGTGGGGAGGGAGGCAGGAGATACGTCAGGGCAAGCCACATCACTCTGCACCAGGACAAATCAGCAGAGGTCCGCAGGGGACAGACACCCTTCACAGGCACCTCTCTGCTCTGCTGAGCTCATATCCTGCTGCCTTGCCTGGGCTGTGGCCGTGAGGAATTTACTGGGGAGATGGTCTCATTTTATTTCTGAGGATTAACTTAAAATAGGACGCTTTTAGATTGAGAATTTTTATTCATCTGATATAAAGTGATGTAAAGCAGTCACAGTCTGCAGTAAGGGTGGCTTTCCACAGACACACAGGGAGGCAACATGGAGCGTAAACTGGGATATGGTTTTGGTACGGATGAAGGGCTCCAAGTAGTGGAAATCCTCTTAGTTTGCACTTAATTCTCCCACCCACTCCTTTCCCTTCTAGGAATTCATTGTTTCTACCACGCATTTGTTCACTAATTTTATCTATTCAGCTACTATGCTCTTTTCTCCATCCACCTCCCACAATCCAGAGCCCTGCTTCCTCTGCAGCTCCATTCTGCTGGGCTCCTGCTCTCCCCAGCGTCCACAGTTTTCCATCAGCCCTGCCCATACCACCACCTACCCTTCTGCCCACTGACCCATGCATCAACACCCTCGAACCTTCCCCATGGATTTCATGGACCAAACATTCCCCCTCCAGGTCCACTTGGCAGATCCACCATGAGTCCTCCCTACCTGTCACCGCTATTGCCACTGCATGTTATTTTAAATCAGGTAGAATTAAGGATGAGTCCAGGTAGAAATGCCATAATCCGCAGTTGCTGGTCTAATCTTTGCTCATGGGCTTAGCCTTCATTGCCTGCCACAAAGCTGTCCCTCTTTGACACAGCAAGTTCACCAAAGTAGAGAGCTATTTACAGCAGCCCCAGTCCTGTATCTCAAATAAACAGCTTCCCCTCGCAGCCACAGGAGAAATAGGGGAAGATTAAGGCAGCATGTACACATTTTTCTTTGCAGGGCATCCTGAGACCCTCAGTAGGGACAGCCTGTCTGCAGGCTGCCTGCAAGGGACCCAGGCAGACAGGAAAAAGGACCTGAAGCATGGGGTGAACATATAAATGATGTGCACTAGGATGTCATCCGGACACTCTACTAGCCTGGGAGCTGCCTGAACAACAGGAGCCTGGCACCCTTGGAACCACCACCCAATCCCCACGGAGAAGCAACACACAAGAAGATGAGGTGCCCAAGTCTCCTGCAGGGAGTGGAGGTAGGTCTGGGGGTTTGCTAGGTCAGAAGGACCCCAGTACCACTTAACCCAACCGAGCACCAGGAGAGGACACGACAGGCAACCCAGGAAGTGGAGAAGCAGCTGTGAGTACAAGGAGAATTAACCTTTAATTAATGCCAACCCAGTACACCACCTATCACTGGTAGGGTTGGATGTCTGAAGTCCACAGCACAGACATCTGATGTTTGACCTAAACTAGAAACACTGCAAGCTGGTGCTTCTAAGCGTGGAGACTGTATGAGTTCTCTGAAAGTTCACAAGAGCTTTTTAAGCTCAGAAGTAAAACAACTCAGTTCTCCTCCTCCTCCTTCTTGAAAATTGAGATTGATCATACGTTGCAGAAATTGCCCGTGAAAATTAAATAAAACTCTATTCTGCCTGAAGCAAAGGCCTGGTCTTCAAAATTTCAGCATGAATGGTTTGGAAAGCAGCAAAATTGCACACAATTACAGCCAGGCTGTTTCAGTGGGAAATACCTTCACAACAGGCTGGGCTGACAGGTCTACCCAGAACCATTGGCAACATCAGGATCCTCTGACCTGAGGGGGAGCTGACAGACTCGTGAAGTGACATCCTGATGTAAGGCTGTGACCAGCGCCAGTAATGCCATTTGAAGTATCAACCTCCATATATTGGGATTACAGAGCAGGTGCCCCAATTTCCACAGCATTAGACAGAAAGTGTATCTTCTCTTTGGAAGATGAGAAACAGCCTCAAAAGTGGTGGTCTGGTGTTCAGTTTTGGTTTAGGGCTCAAACTGGTAAAGTGTTGATTCCCTGAGTCAGCTCAACACTTGAAATTAGCTGTGACTCTCTGCTTACTCATTTGAGATGAATGAACTTCTGTAACGGCGTCTTCCCAGACACCTGTTTACTCTGCTCATATCCTGCTACACATCTTCCCTCTGCTTTTCTTTGGGCTTGCTGCTGGCCTGGAAGCCATCTTGAGCTGGGTGCCTCCAGAGAGGAACCCCAAACAAAGAAATCTCTGACCAAAGAATACCCTTACAATCTAAGTTTCCTACCCCTCATGCAACAGTTCAGTCCAACAATAATATTAGGGTCTGGAGTCTACTTGTTTGCCATTGAGTCTCTTCAAAGTCTCTAGGTGGGCCGTTTCTCCTCTTATCTATAAGGCTGCAGCATCCGTTGACGGGGTAGTGGCCTTCCTTGCTTCCTTCTGGCATGAAATGGCTCTGGGGCCTCCTTTTACTTAATCATAGAATCACAGAATATCAGGTTGGAAGGGACCTCAAGGAACATCTGCTCCAACGTTTCTTGGCAAAAACACAGTTTAGACAAGATGGCCCAGCACCTTGTACAGCTGAACCTTAAAAGTGTCCAGCATCGGGGAATCCACCACTTCCCTGGAGAGATTATTCCAATGGATGATTGTTCTCATTGTGAAAAATTTTCCTCTTGTGTACAACTGGAATCTCACTGGGAATAACATGTACCCATTACCCCTCATCTTTTCCATGTGACTCCTTGAGAAAAGGAAGCCTTCTTTGTAGCCACCCTTTAAACATGCGAACATGGTGATAAGGTCCCCCTGCTTCAGTAGGTAGAAACCTCAGTGTGTCTACGTGAAAGTTCACAGTTTGCAGCCTGAGGCTGCAGCACATCTAGCTACTAATGATAAGCAAGTTACAGTAAGGGACTAATTTCCTTTATTTCTTTGCACTAATTTTCAAGCAGAGGTGGCATTCCTAACTTCCATTCTTTATCTTTGGTCAGCAAGATGCCACAACTTCTCTCCTATCAAGAGAAACCTATTTCACAGCCTGGAGGTGCCCCAGGTATGACTGACTGCCAAGCGTCTGATTTAAGATGATCTGAGGAGTTCTCTGGGGAGATTCCACTAAGGGTATTCTCACTCGTGAGCAGAACAAGTCACTGCAGATGCTCATCTTCTGTGTCCCAAAACAGCCACCCCAAAGTACTCTTTGTCCCTAGGAAAGCTTCCTATGGACCAGAGCACAGTTGCTTAAGCAATGTCTAATTTTTTCTGTGTTTTCCTCACCACTGGTATCAATCAGCTCTGGTCAATGCTCCACTCCTCAGCTCTGCAGAGGGGGCAAAGTCAGAGGCAGTGGGGCAAAGTCAGAGGCAGTGGAGCAAAGTCAGTGGCAGTGGAGCAAAGTCAGTGGCAGTGGAGCAAAGTCAGTGGCAGTGGAGCAGGCTTGGTCCCTCTGCCAGCTTACCACCACCGCAACATGTTGTGAGGATCCACTGTGCTCAGCAGCCTTGACCTGTGCTGGACAACCCCAACTGGGCAAGATCAAGCAGGTTCAAATCAGAGGTTTCAGACCAACAAGCAGAAGTGGACAGCAGGAGAAGAGGCAATTGTTGACAGGCAATGTCACCTGTTTTATCCTCATGTCTGTACATAGAAAGTGTTGCGACAGATGCACAAACAATTTTCTAAAACAATTATGAGAGCCCAGATCTTGCAACCTGCCAGAGAAACTGCTGCACACTTCATCCATGGCAGCTAATTCTTGTTGGTAAGGGGGCGGGAAGCTCACTGATGTGGCAATTCATCTTAGAAAGAGCAAGTATTTTTTATTTCCTTGATTTCACAATCCATGCCCATGCAAAGATGATGCTGACAGCAGGTGCAGCATGAATGTCTGCCTGCATTACAAACAAAGCACCAAGTTTGCAAGGATGAAGCATTTACGTTCCTGTTCCCATCACATCAGCAGTACTCGTGAAGAAATGACAGCTACCAGCAGCAGTGGCACAAGCCTATTGCCCCTTTGCGTTACTGCTGTTTGTTCCTTCTACCCCAGTTTGGCATAGTGCACCCTCGCTGCACAAAGTCTTACCTACAACTACTAACAAAATAGTCCAAAATATGTGTCCAGCTGCAAAGGGGAGGTGAGGAGAAGGTGGTGGGAGCCCTCTCCTGACTGAGCACCAAGTTGCAGGGAAGTGACATGTCCAAAGGCTGACAGGAGGCGGGCAAAGCACTACATCCCAATGCTCTCCAATACAGGCCATCCTTCTGCTCCACAGGAAGAGTGTGTTAGCCTCTCTCCTACACTCAGTGACAAAACCCAACCAGCCACCCTCAGCTTTGTGCACCTGAGTGGTCTAATTTCTTCAGCAGGGCTGCTTAAGTCACAGAATCACAGAATCATTAGGGTTGGAAGGGACCTCTGGAGATCATCTTATCCAACCCCCCCTGCCAAGAACAGGCCACCTAAAGCAGATTACACAGGAACACGTGCAGGTGGGTTTTGAGTTCACAGGACTTGAAGTAACTAGATTTTTAGGTCGAGAGGGTTTCTTTAAGCCTCCAAGAGCAATGTTAACTGGGCAGGTGTTCAGCCTGTCTGGAGGTCTGCATTTAAAAAGTAATATATTCAGCTATGCTCAAAAAAGGGACAGAAAACAACACTTGGAGAAGATCTGACCAACTCAGCATTGCTGCTGGGACTTGGCTTTTCTTGACTTCACCGGTCTTTAAACATTACATCCATGCAGGTTGTTGCAGTGATCTTCCTAAACTTCTGTTTTCATAAAAGAGCTCCGAGACACCAAGTGAAGGCCAAAGCCAGATGCTTTGCAAAGATGACAGACAGAACAACTTTCTGGAAGACAGAGCAGAATGAACTTAATGCTAAGCACTGCAGGAAGGAGATGGGGAAAAGCTGAGAGTTTTCCTCTCCCAGTTTCTCGGGGGGCTCGTGCTGGCTATTATGGGCATTCAAGGGCTCGCTACAG